AAATATTCCTAATCTTGAGGGAAAAAGCTATCTTTTGAATCTGAGCTTTGCTCTCCTTTACTCAAGGGCACCTGCACCCGCCCCCAAACCGGACATCAAGGTTTTTGGTATTAAGCTTATTGGAAGGTTCAAATTTGAGACCTCTAAGCCAATATAACCAAGAGATCCCAAGCCCTTACAAGCTGGGTGATCCTTTGGGAGCAGAGCTATCATTTTTTTCATCACTATTTTTTTTATAAAACATGTTCTCATGGATCCCTGATTTATCAAAATTTTTAAAAAATCACTCCAAATCATGCGTCCAAGCATGATCATGTCTAACACCAACGCTGCTGAGAATAGCAGTAGCACTCCTACTCAAACAAAAGAAAAGAAGATGGTAAGAACAAACGTGTAAGAAAAACAAATGGAGCCCATTTTTGTTTTGTGTTGCTCCTATGGTCAGGCTTGCTTATTTATAGGCTCTATTTTATTTTCATTTGACTTTCTGAAAGCAAGCTTTTAATCCCCAAAAATTTAAAAAAAAAAAAAAGAAAAGAAAGGAAAAAGAGAGAAAAAGAATAGGCAGTCGAAAAATTAAATTTATCTACTAATCTGGATAGAAATTGCAAGAAACTCCTATGGAATACAATTTCATATACTCAATAAGAAAGTGAACTATTCAGTCATTCCGCACCTGCAGTCTTAGATAAGCAAAGACTGGAGTCTCCAGAAGGCGAATCAGTTTATCCAGCTGAACTAAAAATTTCACATTAATATCTTCCTCCACCAAAGACTGAATCACCACACTAGCATGCTCGTATGACTGCCATGCAAAAATTAATAAAAGATTAAAACACAAATATTTGGTATTGCTCTCATCTAGATATTGAGGTATTTGATGCATAACATAATGTATCAACTCATTCAAACAGCCAACATAGCATAGCTCAATTGGTTAAAAGCATATATTTTCGACCAAAAGATTGAAAGTTCAAATCCCCACCCCACGTTTGTTGAACTAAAAAAACGAAAAATAAAACTAAAAAACCATTCAAAAACAACCTGTGATAATAAGCAGAGACTTATAATAGCCATAGGGGAATGACACCACGAAGCATATAAAGAAACAAAAAGATCCTTCCCAGCTGCATGCACCAACGATCTCTTCAAAAGATCTCGAAGATCCGATAACTCAGAGGAAGTCAGCAAGATCAAATTCAGTGCCTGAAAATATAAATAAAAAGAGTGAACTCGGTGAAAGGGAAAGATAGCAGACTTTTAGCCAAAAATAACGATGAATTACAGAGAAAATTTCTAAATAAAAGCGGGGGAGTTGGTTCAAACACAATTGGAATTCAATTGTCAGGGTTTCAAGAAAAGACAGGTTATGAGGAAAAGGAGTGCAACAAATTCAGCACCTTTGTTTCTGTCATTAAAAAAAATGTTCTGAGATAAAGCGCTCATAATAATAGCATATGTGAACCACCATGTAGTTTCAGATAAATTCTTGTTCCATCTTTTTAGCATTTGGAAGAACAATAAGTAATATAGCAAATTGCTAAATAATCACATTGTTAAAACTCAATGTTCCTAACGCACCCCAAATATTTGGCAATTAAGATAAAAATCATGCAGACTATGAAAATTCTATTGATCATAATAACTTATAAGACACTGGCCATGCTACATTAGCCATTTTTTTAGTCAGCTAATTATGCAAGCTTTATAAATAACAGAGAAAAATAAATTACACTGATAAGATAGCAACCTGAACCATAATAGAAGCAAAATCCAGATCTGACTCTCCTTCCAATATTGTAGACAGCTCACGGTAGACCCGTTCAGCATTTAAAAGTACACACAATCGGCGTATTATCAATGCACCACGCCTAAGAAAATGATGAAATAACATATATTTTGTAAATCATAAAATTAAATATCAATATACATCAGAATTTCGTATGCAACAACAAATAAGCAGAGAGGGAAAGAAAACCCACTTCTCCAGAAGAGAATTATTAATCCGAAAATTATTCACTAGGAAAACGACAAGTTGGCGAAAATGTTGCTGATCTTTCGCTATACAAGCATGAACCTCGAGAACAAGGAGGACCACCTAGGAGAGCATCCAATATAAAACTGTAAGTTAACTAGCACAAGCAGGGGGATAAAAACAAAACAGCAATAATAATAATTGATGAAAAACCCACACGGCAGAACTTATGCAGCTAACTTCAAATGGTCAAAAAATAATATCAGGGTAATAAAAGCCACACGGCAGAACTTATGAAGCTATAGTCTTTCCAGTCATTACATGGTGTAAATCCTCCCCTATCACCACTATAGCTACACTTCCCTATTAGCCAATTGGAAGTGCTTCATGTAACCCCTCTTTTGAGGCTTTTGTAATTACATACATCAATGAAATAGTTTTTTTAAAAAAAAAAACAAAAAACAAAAAAACAAAAACAAAAACAAAAGCCAGTTTTACCAGAACATCAAATTCTTCATCAACATTAATCTTTCATGGTAACCATCGTTCAAAAAGTTTAAAAGTAACATTTAACAATGATAAAAACATAAATAAAGAACACATATTCTTTTTCTAAAAATATTGAAGTGCTTCAACATATTATAAAATAAAGTACTAAGGCAACACTAAAGATTTAAATAATCTAGAGATATACTTTATACAGAAAAATATTCTGGAATCGTTACAGTGCATTTAGAGCCAAGTGGAAAAAATACATTATAGACACTTAACCAAAAAAACGAAAAAAAAATAACAGATATATAATCAAGCAATCAGAAGATAATGACATGTCCACAAATTAGAATTAAATTTGCCAAATGGGTGGAAAATTTTACAAGATGATGCATCAGAAAGTAAAAGATATTGCGAACCAATATAATGCCACCACAAACTAACATGCAAAATTACAGAAAATTTTTTGCAGAGAAATGAAGATAAATCACCAGAAGAAATGATTACCTCATCAGCAGGATCAGATAAGGCTTGAAGAAGGCTGTCAAGTACATCATCCAAATAGATCAAGACCTATCCAAAATGGAATGAAGATTAAGCACCCATTAAGAATGCACCTAAAATATAGAACACGAAGAGAGGAAAGAACAGTAGGTAGACTAACTATAATTACGAGGAACAATCTACCTCTCCTAAGGCAGCTCAATTACACTGCTGAATGTGTTGGAAAAATCAGTGATGATATGGTGAATTGAGAGTGTGTGATGATATCATGGTTTTTTTATAAGAAACAATTTCATTGAAGATATCAAATTACAAACTGGGGTAAAATCCCATCCAAGGGAGTTAAAAAAAAAATTCTCCAATTGGATATGAGAGAAGAAAGGGGGAACATTCACACCATGTTACAGCCAAAAAAGTATGGCATAGAAAAAACAGTCAAAGGAGTGTATGCATCTTTGAAATTCTTTAGTTTCGTTTTCCAAGTGACTGATAAGAATGCTCAAACAAAGTTTATCTAAATGAGCTTCTTTTCCTTTTCAAACAGGTGATTTCCGTGATCATAAGTAACTCACAGAATATTTGTTAAAAAGTTTACTTTCATATATATTTTTCTAAACTATGGGAAAACATTCAATAAATATTATTTTCATTAAAAAACAAATAACTCAAAATGTTGTTCTTTTATAGGAAAATTTTATTTTTACAGGAATTTTTTTTGAACAAGAAACGATAGATGAAAAAGAAAATAAAATGTTCAAAGATACAAACTTCCAAGGGAGAGAAAAGTAAATAACAAAAAGGAAAAAGATACAAAATTAAATTATTTAATTTTATGGGAATTCAAAATGTTGCCATGAAAAGCAGCACTTGGTTAATACCGAGTGAATCGTGCTTATAAAATAATCAACTTTACCAGACATAGGAACTAAAATTAAATTATTTACAAGAGGAAAGATTTGAATTAAAAAAAAAAAAATTTTTGTTCTTTTGTTTTTTGAACAAGAAACAAAATTTTCATTGATAGATTGAAAAGGAACATAAACAGAAAGGTTTTAGTTTGTAGCTGTCATGTATGAAATTGCAATAAGAGAAGGTCCATAGACACTCCCTCCCCCCACCCTCCGGCATGCTTCCCTCCTCTGGTATTTTCACCTTTCACCA